CCTGGAAAGGAAACAGGGTTAGGCATTACATCTACTGATAACCTAGCCTGTTTAGTCACAGTGGTATTATTGCTGCGGCACCTGTTGTTGTTGCTGCGGTTGCACAGGTAGTTCTGCAATTGGAGCTATCCCTAAAAAAGGATTTGTGGCAAAGACTTGGTTAATCTTTGTCATTCCCTCCATTAATTTGCCCATCTGGTCAGTCAATTGACCAACCTGACGACGCAAATTATTTCCCCCATTGCCGTTTTGTCTTTGCCCATTAGAATTTGGTTGGGATGGCTGAGACTGTTGGGAGTTACTGGAAGCAGATTGGTTATTTCTGTTTCCATATCTCCTATTTCCCTGAGGATTCCTTCTCCATTGGGAATTGCCTTGGTTCTTATTAACCCAGGGGCGTTTATTCCCATTGGTATTGGACTTTTCAGAGTTATTAGAGGAATTTGCAGAATTGCTTCCGGCATTTTCCTGTTTCTGAGGTTTTGGTGTTTTCAAAACCTCGGAATAGGTCCTCTTTTTCTGTTGGGTTTCTAAACCTAACTGAGTTTTAGTCTCTGACACCATTTTATCACCAGGTTTCTTAACCTTTGGCTGATTTTCGTCATGTGCATGGTGTATAGTGTACAATTTCATGCATTGACTGACTAGCCATTCTAATGGCAACTTACAATCGTAATCTCTTGCGAGATTCATTTGTATGTTTACCGGCATGGCATGAAAATACAGATCTTTGAAGTCTGTGCTTTCATACCTGGGTTTTCTTTGGGCCACGGAGTATGCATTTTTAAGAATTATTAAAAATTCTCTGGGGCTTTGATCTGGACGGCACTTTAAGTTATAAAGCGCCTTCTTAGCAGAGGCAATGGTTTTATACTTACCATATTCCATGATTATTTCATATTTCATCTTGGACCAGGACATTAACTGTATAGCTTGAAGACTTTCTAGATACACACGGCACATTGAATCAAAGGTCCATGTAATAAACCATTTCTTATGAATGTCATCATACATGCCCAATGAATTCATTGCTCTATCATAATTTTCCAGATGTTCAGATATGTTTCCTGAACCTCTAGAAAATTGTGGGACAGTCTCTCTAAGGAATTTGATGACCTTTGGTGTTTCATAAACAGGCGTCGTCGATTTACGACCTCTGTTTCTGTGTTTTGGTAAACGTCTATGCGAACTGTCTGCTGAATAGGAATTAGACCCGTACAACAGTGCAGATGGCATATCAGTTACATGGCCTTCAGAGTGGACAGTGCAATCACTTTCACTCCCATCACTCTGAGCTTCTTGTTCACTGTCACAATTCTGATCAGCATCAGAATTCTGCCAGTGTACAGAACCATGTCTGTTTTCATTCCTATCACCTTGAATCTGATTCTTTCTGTCAAGCTTGTCCAGGACAGTCTTTTCAAACTGTTCTGCCCAAGATTGCCAAGAACCTACAGGTGTTTTCTCAGAATTACTCACCTCTTTTCTTACAGATTGTTTTATGAAAACCTGGTCTGGTGTGTGAATATCAGGAAATTGAAAAGAATCACTTGGGTCTTTTCCCAGTAATCCTTCACTTCCCTTTTGATATTCATCTAGCTGCATCTGTATCTGTTTTATCTGTTGATTATAATCATCCACCATTTTGTTCATTCTTTCCAGTTTATTCAAAAGGTCAGAGTTTAGAACCTGAAGGAGATTATTTTCATCAGACAAAGTTTTGAACCTTCCTTGTTCGAGCACCAGGTCTTTCTGACACTCGTCCAATTTACGTTCTATCTCATTATGCTTTTTTAACATAATAGAATAACCCAATATGAAAAACGGGCATGAGTTGGTAACAGATCGCATTGTAGACTCTTCATCTATATGGCTAAGATATTTAACCATAGGTGAATCAGCCGATCTATCATGAATCGAATCATCAACCTGTTTTTTTATTTGGAGTATCCACTCTGGATAATCAACTTTAATTTTTAGATACTGATATATGATGCTTAAGGGAAAACCTTGCATTTCCGCTAACTTCTTCCCATTCTCTGATTGAGATGAAGCGCTAGATTCAGCCATATTTCTATACAGTGATTTAATCTCAATACAAAACTCTTTTCTATATCAAGATTAAATTGCATGAATTACACCAATATTATTATTATATATGAAATACAATTTCAACTTAAACGATCTCAGCACCGTGCCTCCAATATGTGGGGATATTTATGGGATAATAATAGTAACAGTGAGAATTGCCCACTAATTCAATTCTCAGATCCCAAAGAACGTTTATCGTGTTAAGTGAAAAGTATTTCATATAAATAATCACAATATATAAAAATAGATTTTATTTATGATAACAAATTAATAATAATAACATGTAACATGCATGACAATAATCAATGAATATCCAGTATAAAATGGTATGCAATACAAAGAAATGGGGATTACGTTTCAATGGCTAAACGGCATTATCTGTCAAGAATTCTGACGATTTATGACTATCTTTAACACAGACTTTTCACAGCTAAGAACAGAATTCCTCAGAGTGCAGCGTAAGGTCGTAAAGTTTAGCAGACAGTTAGAATAACCCTTTCAATGCTGGCTAGATCTCCTAGGTAGTTAAGATCTATTCTTATGTATTTTTAAATAAAATAACATTTAAACCAGTTCACTAGTCATTTTCTTAAACCATCCATAAGAGAATTTACCACATTATATAAGCAGATTTTTAATTTGTCTAAAAGATATCTATCTTAATTTAGAGCAAATCAATACACCTGGATAAAAACAGCGGTATGCTAACACGTGATAATATCACATCAATATATAATTATTCTTAATTCCACCTGCAGAATGGAATGTTTATAACTATATATTTTAGTTAACTAAGATTTCTTAATATGGAAATCTGACCGTGCTTTATCCAGTCATATATAATGCTATTAATACAATTTAATTAATTTAATTTAATTAAATGAAACCAGTATAATTACCAGTTGAGTAGATATTTCATCCGATTGGTAGTCTCTCTGCATGGAGGTGTTGGTTAGAAAGTCAGTAAATTCTAAGTGTTAGAGTTTTAGGAGTAGAGTGTTATTCTCAGATGTTGTCCGAGTTGGAATCCCCAAACTTCCAATTCCTTTCTCCTCTCCGTTGCATATCTTGCATGTGCCTCCTCTCGTGTATTTCTTGTATCTCTATCTTCCCTTTGTCTTAACTTTTAAAGGGCCAGACTCTCTGTACGTCATCAGTTGATAACCCAATAGAAGCACTAGAGGTGTGGTTATCTTCCAGATCGCAAATTAGTTATTTGGTCTGTAGAGGGCAGTCTTGTCCCACTAAACATACCTATCCAGGAAAGAGTTAACTTTTCCTGGTGGCTATTTTGACGTCATTTTGGCCTATCTAGATAGTGGCTATAACTTACCTATCCTTCAAAGATCAAAGGGGTTCTTAAATTTTGTCCAGACTATGTGTCTGCAAATCTGCTATAATTTCTGATATGACAGATCATGAACTAAGTTTACCCTTTTCCATACAATGGTACCTTATATATATAGACAGTTAAATATTAAATTATTTAATCTTCTCTGTCACAATTGTCTGGGTTTAGATTTGATTATATTCCATTAGCATTTTAGACAGTCTATCCAACCCCCTTCCTTATCACTTGTTTGTATATACTATGCATTCCTCAGATCTGGGAAAGTGGTTAGCTTACAGATAGAAATATAGTGTCTTTTTGTTAACTTGAAATAACAAAATGGAGTCTGGTCTGTTCAGAGTGACTCAGAATATACACTTTTAGTTTCTATCATAGCACAAAATGTCTGCCGATATAAATACTCTGACACCCACTGGTGACAAGACCATGCTTCGAATATACTCCATTGACTACAACCCTCTGTTGCCTGTCACTCAGCCACTGCCTTACCCATTCAACAATATTGGAATCCAAACTTAAAGATTGCAGTTTATCGATAAGCCTTCTATGTGCAACAGTGTCAAAAGCCTTACTGAAATCTAGGTAAGCAATGTCTACTGCACCACCCTGATCTATTATTTTAGTTACCCAATCTATGATTTTGAAATCCATGTGATTTTAGATGTTCAACAATCCTATCCTTGAACATGGTTTCCATTACTTTTCCCACTACTGAAGTAAGGCTTACTGGCCTATAGTTGCCCGACTCCCCCTTCTACCTTTCTTGTGAATGGGCACAACATTCGCTAACTTCCAATCTTCTGAAACTACTCCTGTTAAAAATGATTGCTAGTACACCACTAAGCTCTTTTAATAACTTTGGGTGTATTCCATCAGGCCCCATTGACTTATTTGTCTTTACTTTTGACAGTTGAAATAGAACCTTTTCCTCTGTGAACTCACATGTAACAAATGACTCATTTGTCCTTTTTCCTAACTGAGGCCCCTTTTCTTCATTTTCATCTGTAAATACTGAACAAAAACTATTAATTGAGGCAGTCGGCTAGACCTTTATACTCTTCTACATACCTTCCTTCTTTTGTTTTTAATCTAACTAATCCTTGTTTTACTTTCCTTTTCTCATTTATGTATCTAAAAAATGTTTTGTCCCCTTTTTTTTTTACTGACTGTGCTATTTTCTCTTCTGTGATTTGGAAGCTCTTATAACTTGCTTCATTTTTTTCACCCAATTCCCATACATGTGCCTCAATATCTGTGCCCTGGCTGTACCAAGACTTAACTCGATTATGATGACATTTGTTAAATCTTTAATATAAATTTAAAAACAATGGAGCATCACATAAAAAGGTTCACTCAAGCTATAGGTGATTTTAAATCTTTTTATTCAATTGATGGTTCCATTTAAAATTTCAAAATGCAAAGTATCCCACTAGGTAGTAGTTGGTCAATAGTAATAGCTCTACTGGAGTGGGTGCGATCTCATGGTAGGTATGCTTGGTTGTGTTTTGGTGACATTTTCAGATAATGTAACACAACATTATAAAGTTGCTCATTATTTGTTTAAATCTTCTAAACTGTGAATTTCTAAACCGTGATTATTCACTGAAGTTCAGCACTGCAGCGAATTGAAATCAAGAGGACAAAGTGGAGGCAAGAATAATCGATACATACAAATTCTTCAGCGCTGCTATCAGTCATACAGTTTCGCTATTTTAGCCATTTAGAGGTCAATTTACTACAAGTTGGAGTTTAGTAAATAAATTTGCGCCTAGTAAAACGTTATACTTAAGCAAAGTCATTGTTTCCACAGAGAATTTTCAAGGTTTATAATTCTAATTTTCATCTACTATTCTACTTAAATGTCTTCTCTATGACATTAGGTGCATTTACCAGCTAGCTAAGAGCAAAATTAAACATAAGGTGACATAAGGCAGCCACCTAGAGCTCATGGGTTAGGCAGGGTATTATGTGGTCCGCTTATAATGTGTTTTCTAAGCACCTATAGTCCCACAACTCTGCAACTCCTCAAACATCAGGGGAGAAGAGGGACATTGAAAGGGACTGACAAGATCAGGTGTCAATCACGTGTGTGTGCATGGCAGACTGATGCACCCTTTGTGGTGGGTCTTCCTTCAATGTGCATGGTGTTTAGTAGCTAGCCTTCCCCATCTCTTGCTCCCCGGTCATATTTCACAAGTTTAAGATGCAAAAATTAAGACAGCAAATTGAATATGTGGCCTTTAATCATGGGGTAAGGATTTTACATTATTCCTCAATTAATATATAGACCGTTAAGGTAGCTCAGGTGCATTCCTGGTATTTTATGCTGTAGCAGTACAATGGTTTAAGTGAATTTTCTGTATTTTTTTTTTTTTTCATAAAGCTGCACAAATTAAGAAAAATCAACACTATTTTGTGGTAAAGTGTTCAGAACAACTTTCTTAATTGAGAAAAATTGTGTATTATTTAGCATTTGCAGGGTGTTAGCATAATCTTTTGACTAAATTATCTGTATTTTAACAACGTATTAAAATTTTAATGAGATGATGCAAAGTTAATGTATTATGTGCTGTTGATTTGAGAATCTTTTATTAGTGCATAAAATTAATATCAGATAAACATACAGTATGAATCTGAGCTAATGAATAATTCTAACAGCAATAATGCTTAGCCAAAATACATATTATCACCGCTCATCAACATTACTAATCTGCAACTTTCTAGCAGCAGCTAAAATAATGGCTCTATTTAGGAAAGGAACGATCAAAAGATATTTTAAGTAATGAATAAAGTTTTTAACAAACCGTTCTCATGTTTTCTACTTTAGTTTAAAGATAACTTGCCTTGGCAATATGCAGGTTTGTGGACTACACTACCATGATGCATCCATAAGATGAACATCTGTGAACACTTTCGTACATGTTTCATGAGGTTGGCTATGCATTATGGGAAATTTCGGAGTTTATCAGCTAGTTTTCTGATTGTGGCCATATGAATTATGGGATATATACTACACAAAAATAAAAACTACCAAGGTTGTGTTTGAACCACATTTACCGATTTACAGAGCTCTGAATTTTCTGAAGTCGGGTGAAATATTCAACTTGGAGAACAATCAATAATAAGGACTTACTGTAACCAACTCGCCCTGTGTTTTGGACATGGTTAAAAAGTATTGTAAGAAATTATTCAAAAAGTCAGTAAAATGATGCTGTATTCCAATGCCTGAGATAAATACATGGTAAAAAGGGTTCTAAAAAAGATATTAGGGTAGATATTAGGGTTCTGGAGTCTTGCTAACAGGAGACAGTCCATCAGGCATTCATTTTTAGTCCCTTGAAAGCCTTATTTTCTAGGAGGCACATAGCACATTATTATGTGGTGAGATAAATAAAATTTAGCAAGAAGACTACAGATGTTCCTGTTACTCATATCATTGAAGTGGTCTGGGTGCAATATCCCAGTACTCCTTAGCCCTGCAAAGCCAGAGTCTGCCTCACTAGAGGCGCTTCCTGCAGTTTCACAGAGTTTGACTTTGTTAAACTATGCTGGACATCCTTGCGCTTTGCATGGGGACATCCAGCATCAAGCAAAATCCCATAGGAAAAGATTGATTCAGTGCTTTCCTATGGAGAAAAATCAACTGACATCAAAGGAGGAGGAGCACGACCTAGCTCCCTACAGGATGTCTTGTAATCTCTCATCCTTTCAGAGGGGAATGAGTATAGTTGAGAGTGGTAAAATTATGAGCCACATGGTTCCCAATCTCCTGATCCAATAATTGTACCAGTTACCCATCAGATAGAGTGTCATGGAGATTCCTTTATCCTGGATCAATATTCGTTAATTACAGGTATTTTCTGCAGCATAATGTAATTTAGTTCTGTGTATTCACTGAACAGTGGATTGCAATTAATTGAAAATTAATTTGCAAAATTTAGACCAAGCTGTGACTAAATCTGAGTCGGGGAATTTCTCGCAGTTATCTATTTTAAATACTCCAGTGTAGTTTTTTATTTTCTACCACATGATGTTTAGTGAATAAAACTGTAGTTTATGTTTCAGTTCAGGGACAGAGTTAAGGAAAATGTGAATGTCTAAATGAGTCCCACAAATAATAAATTTTTGCAATCTTCTGTTAAAAAATAGCTGATTTATTATACTTTTCATGAAAAGTCAGTATGTTGATATGACATTTATGAGAAAATGACTTGCTAGGAATCAAAGTTGCATATGCAGGACCTCATTTAGAATATTTATTTTAATTGTCAACAACAGACCTAATTGGTCAACATTTTGCTGTTATTTCTACATTTTCCAATCTGAACGAACACTGAAGTCTTAGTAAATAACCCAATTTCTTTTAAATGGAATGTATGAAATGTAGCATTTATTTTACTGGTAGAACATCAGAGTTTTAAGTCTTTCTGATGTATGATTTAATAAAATTTTATACACAAGATGATTTCCTTTCTAATGAAAAAGAATAAAAGAAAACAACTTATAATTTGTCCAGATCCTGTTAAAATGTATCCACACAAATCAAGCCTATATTAGAGAGTTCAATATGTTTTGAGTGCAGAAAGAGTTCAAGTTTTACATTCCATTGTGGATATATCCGAATTCTAAAGGAACAATCTCTGCCCTTAAAGTGGCAGAGTATAAAAAAAATAAAAAATTTATAATAATAATATTTTTTTTATATCATACAAGATGTATGGTTTTGCCATCAGTGCAAAACTCTTTTGCAGCCAATCGTCACCCTCCCCCAAGTGAGGCACATAGTAAAAGTAATACAAGATGTATGTTTTTCTTATGTGCACACTTGTCTAATTTTAAGACTGAGAGGGATTCCTGCAAACGCTTTCTTATTTCTGTGATTCAGGGTTCAAATGAACAATTAATTAAAATAGAAAAATTATTATCTAAATTACACACAAATACATTAATTAAGTCTATAGAAAGTTATGGGATACCATTGATTTGTTGGAAGATCCTAGCCTTCAATAAAGGATCTCAGTAATTTTCAGAATACCTTTTTTTAAAACACATCGAGAAGTATTTTTTTTTAACATTTCAATGCATATTGTAATGCCCTATTATTTACATTGTCTTAACTATAAAAATTAAATCCACTCTGTTATGTAACTCTGCAGTGTATCTTTAAGAGCCGACCAATGCATCTATGGAATGTAAATAAAATATAAAATATGGAATATTTTATTACATGTATATAAGATTTCCGAAGAGTGCAGGCCCTGATGACCTTCAGGTCACCTTCCTTCAGGCTAATGGATTCACACGGATGAATTTGTGACAGGTGGCTCAACGTTCTGAAATAATGGAGTGGTTAAAAAAAATATATGCTGATAATATTTCTATACATATGATCTCAGCTTATATTAATAATTTAATCCTAATTTACCAGACTTACCTTTTATTATACGGCTATATTTGTGGCATTAAAATAATGTCAATTATTTGTTTTAAAAATTCCTTGTTTTACTGCTAGTTGCCATTTACAGCTTGAGATATTTTGTGTTTTCCCTTCCATTTTATCAATATATTGTTTATTGTTCTACATAATAGTGAAAGTACTAGAAATATGACGAATGCGCATGTTACAATACAAAATAAACAACTGTGACAGTCATTGCTTGTTCACTGACCTCACAGAGTGGTCTCTAAAGTTCTTAGTCCACCATGAAATATTCTATTTATTTAGTATCACCGTGTCTAGAAAACTTGAAAAATAAATTTTAAATATGGAAAGGACTTTATGAAAAATGGCATGTAGACGTCTCTTGTCTATTCTAGCTAACTAATTTGAAAGATTAAATAACTTTATTTGTAAAATCCTGTAGAAATTAAAACATCTGTCTACATTTTGCAATTCCGTTTTTAATTCACTACAATGCAGTGATTGGCAAATTGACAAACCCTATTGTCTCACTGTGATTTGCGAGTTAATGAGTGGATTGAACACCTTCTAGATGTCCTTCAGCATTACTGTGGAGCAACAAAGGAATTGTGTATTGGAGATCTATGCCAGCATTCTTACTTTTATCACAAGATTACCAAGAAAGAATAAAAAGGATTGCAAGATATTTGTGGATGAAAGGAGGAAGGAGTGAAAGAGAAAATAGAATGAAGAACGCTTAATGTAGAGAGATAGGATAAATATGGAAGCGGGAATGGACACAGATGACCAACAGGCGCAGAAGATATGAGGTTACAAATTCTAAAGAAGAATAAAAGGATTGACTGAAAACACAGCATGTGGATGCACATAAACTAGTTCTTTGGGTCCCAAAACATTTTATTTAACCAACTTCTTTGGGGGAACAATAGCTGGACGCAGCTATTGTTTCCTATTTTCTCTTCATGATTCTGAAGATGATATAAAGATATCGTCCTCCAGTTTTCTGTATCTAAAGACCCTTCCACCGAGGAGTCAAACGTCTTTTGCTTTCACTCCACAGGAATCAAATCCCCAACTTCCATAAACTGCCATAACAGATTTCTAGATATGGCATGGAGTAATTATAAGTGGAAATTATAAGTCTGCAGAAATCATAGTAATGTCCCAGTTCGGGCGAGTGAACTAGTTAAATTTCCCAGTGTAGTTAAAAAACACATTCTTTTTCCATTTATAGCTAGACTGATTAGTACTGAGCAGGCAGCTGGAAAAATATTAGAAACATAGTTATTTTTCATTTTCAGTCTAAGCAATTGGATTATAAAATGTGACACAAAGACTTTTGGGCTATATTCCCACGTTAAACAATGTACAATTTTCAGCGTTAAACATAATGAATTCTATCCAATATGTCTTGAAAAGGGCACATTTAACATACATCATTTTACAAATAGCTCAAATATTAAAAAACAATAAATTCTAAAGACACTTGATAGCTGAAGATTATTTTTGCTAAAAGACACCCAAAGCTGCAAAAATGCTGAGTTACGCTTCTTTTTGTTGAAATGTTGGAGGACTGGAAAAATGTAATAAATCATTCCTCATTTTTAGCAACTCATTAGAGCTGCATTTTGAGATAAGAACACAGAGAGTAATCAAGGTCATTTGTGGGTATCCTTCCTTTGCAGGCAAACTGCTACAAAATCTGTTTTTCTTTAAAAACAGAAGACAAAAAAATATTAATTTTGTAAAAAGTTGTAATATAGTAAAAAAAAAAATGCATTTTGTGTTCTTTGGTAAATTAATTATTTCCATGCACCGAACATCTATCAAATCACTTTAAACCAATAATTCAGACAACATATTTTGACCTTGGTTTCTACAGCCAAATAATTGTAAGTGTTGCAGACCTGCCATAACCTTCCTTCCGGTCATTCTGGCTGATTAAAGGGACACTATGGTCACCTGAACAACTTTAGCTTAATGAAGCAGTTTTGGTTTATAGAACATGCCCCTGCAGCCTCACTGCTCAATCCTCTGCCATTTAGGAGTTAAATCCCTTTGTTTATGAACCCTAGTCACACCTCCCTGCATGTGACTTGCACAGCCTTCCATAAACACTTCCTGTAACGAGAGCCCTATTTTGGCTTTCTTTCTTGCAAGTTCTGTTTAATTAAGATTTTCTTATCCCCTGCTATGTTAATAGCTTGCTAGACCCTGCAAGAGACCCTGTATGTGATTAAAGTTCAATTTAGAGATTGAGATACAATTATTTAAGAATAATCTATACACTATGTTACGGCACCCTCAGCATAAAAGGGTTAAACCGCCGTTTAGTAGATCTTCCCCTTCCAGAGATGCAGGCACAGCTACTGCAGAACACCAATCCACCGAACAGGAAACCATACGAATGCTGCAAACGGCCGAATAGGAAAAACCATACGAATAGGTTTACATTCCTAGCAGTCAAACTGGAACAGCATACAGTAAATCCCCCCAAGAACGAGACAAAGCTCTGTGTTGAGGGTCAAGCAGTGAACAGTCAGAGCTGTGGGTTTATTGTGCTTATGTACACATTCTTACACATTAGCACCACCCACAGGGTTTTGGAACACAAACAATAAACACATACAATACACTCAGACACTCCCACACAAATTCCTCCCCTCTGCTTGTAATTCAATTACCTTACACAATGGGTAATGTAATTTAGCACAAGCAGAGAAATAAAAGTTTTCCACATTATTCATAACTTGAAAAGTATGCATCACATTACATTTTCAGAATCAGCATACTCCAAATACAAACATATGTCAAAATCATACAAATTGGTCCAATGGTTCAAAAGATAGATCATAGTCCTTTGTGACCACAGGAAGCATGGCTTTTCTGCCCAAAACCAGTTCCACAGAGTCTTCTATCCTGGAGGTAATTGTGAAGTAATCCAATTATCTCCAAAAACAGAGGCAAAACTCAATTGAACACATGGCAGCAAAAAGACAGTAAAATACAATAAAATACACAAGGTTACATTTATGACATAAAATACAGACATGCAACATATGCCCAGATAGCTTAGGTCTGAGCGCACATTATTACTGCATGGTGCTCAGAGCACACACATACAGTTCAATTGCCATGGAGCCAAAGTCTTTCCCATAGTCTTTCATTATACGAATGGGCTCCATGGCATAGCTATCTGGGGTATCAGTGCTCAAACAGGGCAAGCACCAAATGACCCAGCTTTCTTGTCTTTGCAGGGGAAAATCAAGCCTTTTAACATGGGCCCATAATCCAAAGGCAACAGGCGAGCAACCAGGCTTCTCCAATGCAATGTGGCGAGATTGCTCTCGTCACACACTAAAACTGTTTTATTTAGCTAAAGTAATTTAGGTGACTATAGTGTTCCTTTAAGCCAAAATGATTCAAATGAGCTTAACAGCTAATCTTCTGGGTAAAGGAGATGGGAATAGAGAGAGAGTCAAACCTCATTTACCATTTGTTTTGCTTTTTTTCCCTGTAGTAGCCAAGATTCACATATGCTTATCCATGCGTTTATATCACCTTTCAGTTTTCTAGCGTTCTACAAATAAATCCTGGTATTTTAAAGGCAGGCCACCAGTGGAGTAACACGCTGAAATGAGTCTATAAATATATAGGAAAAAACTTTTAAATGTTTAATGGAAAATGTTCGAATTGGCAGTTTGCCGAGTTACTAAAGCCAACTCATGTCAGGATTCGGTGGGTCTGTTTCATTACGTGTCATTTATTTGGAAGAGTTTGGAAAATCTGTGAAATTCGCAGGTGAAACAATAAATTTTAAAAAGTTAAAAATGGGGTTTAATAAGGGAGAAACCTCCCTATGTTGGCAGGTTTGGGGCATATCTACTAGACATAAATAATTGGAAACAGACTTTTTTCAATGACTGCGTGGCAACCGAATGTAAACTGAATGCGTTCGCCAACGTGGGCATTAGCAAAATATCATTTACCATTACCATAGCATTTGACGTACTGTCCTCCACTCAGCTTTAGTACATTGGTGGTGTGTGGGGGCTCTAAATTAATATTCAGTGGGAGGACCTAGTGCCCCCCTAACACCCACCCATGGGCATTGTGTTGGGGGCTCTAATTAATTAAATAAGTGGATGGGCATACCATTGTCCCCTCCCCCCCAAATAGTGGTATGTGCCCCTTATATATCCTTCCTAATGACATTGGAGATAGGGGGCCTTGATCTCTTAGCCAACGCTCTAAAAAATTAAAGTACCTAACTATCACTCATTGGGGGTGGTCCAATAAATCTAAAACATGTTAAATAAATTGATACTTACAATTGGAAGTCTTGTTTCTTAAAATTCTTTTGTTCTTCAATACCCCCCTCATCACCTCCCCCCCAAAAAACAAATTAAAACTCCACAGCTAGTCATTGCCACTTGGTTATCTATATATTATTAAACTGTACAGTATTTCTCCTTCACTGGGCAACATACACACACCCTAAATATTTCCAATCTGGAAGAAGTATTGAGAAGTACTGAGAAAAGTGGAGATTTTGCTACAGAAACTATTTCTTTTTTTTTAGTAAGACTAAAAATATTTGAAAGTGGAGAATGCAACTAAAGGGATATTCTGGTCACTACCAAGTTATAGTGCCTGGAGTTCATTCAGTGTTACACCATTTTCAAGCAGTTTAACACTGAATGAGGATCCTCTTTCCCCCACAGCTGGGCCCACACTTGAGGTGGGGTTAAGACAGAGATTGTTTCCTTTTCCATAGCAATTCAAACCAACAATTAGACACTTAGTAATAGGACAATCTCAGCCAATCACTGCCACAAATTGCTGCCTCCTCATTGGGCCAGGCAGCTCAGAAGGGACAGGCTTCCTGGGTTCTTGTTTAGCATCAAACTTTAAAAAGTGTTTAGCACTGAATCGAAGAATGGCAGTCAGGGGACTCCAGACACTATAACCACTCCAGACAGATCAGTTAAAGTGTCCCTTTAAGTTGTTCTTGGGCCTGAATAGTGTCTGCAGTTTGGCTGAAGTGTTAAGGCAAACTGTGTGCTGTATTTGTACTTTACATGTCATATAATAATAAATACTATATGTTTAAAAAATCAATACAAATCCATGCAAGATGAGCCACCATTGACTTCAATAGCTGAACTACGGTTAGTCACTCTAACCTCTGCTTCCTACATGTATTTCATACACCTGGATCCATGAGAACATTAAAAAGCAACTCCTTTCATCATATATATTTCTCTTAATTAATATGAAGATATATTTAAATAGAAACATACTATTTTTCTAATTGATTTATTTCCTTTGACTCTTGCAGTGAATCATTCCCATTATTTATATTTTTATTTGTATTTTTTCCTTTATACTTTAAATATATTTATATTTCTCAACGTTATCCACATTGTCATTATGGTGAAAATCTGTAACAAGTGTCAGTAAAAAAAAAACTGGAGTGATTACCATGGAAACCTATAGAATCGGTGGGAACATTATCTTGATTTCCAAGGCGTTAGCACTACTTATAGAAATTTGCCATGCTTTTCTGACATTGACACTCTTAAATAGCTGCTGAATTGTGTCTCCATATACACCCCTTAATTATACTTCACATGGATTGCATCATTGTTCTGTTAAGGAAGATTGGATTATTCTATTTAAACATTTTTTTTTAATTCTCAGAATTTTTTATTATAAAGGTATAGACAGGAGAGGGCGAACAACCTTTAACCTGGGGTAAGTGCAAACAAATGGCCACAAAATGTACATATGTGTATGGACCTACAAACAGCACAAAACATATATATCAGTTTGATGGAGCCTGCTGGGTTCACAATGTGTGACATTATTTAACACTACATCCCAACAATATGATTGGCACAGCATGAGAATGTATTCACAAAAATCTGCGATCGATTCCCTTCCCGTGACTCCACTGACACCAAAGTCTCATCTAAACCTACTAATCCAAAAACGGAGGATACCACACTCACACTTAGGAATCCAGGTGCTTATCAGGGCCAGGGTTGGCAAAACCCAGTTTAGTAGATAAAATAAATGAGTTCCAGGCACTCAGGATTGCTGCAGGAAGGCAGGTTTATTGGAACAAAAAGTTCAACATTTCAGCCTACAAGCTTGATAAAGGACTCTGTGTAGGCCGAAACATTGCACTTTTTGTTCATCCTGAGTACTTGGCCCTAGTTCATCACACAGCTTCTTGATAATATCTACACATTATTATTATTATTATTATTGTTATGATATTTATAGAGCGCCGCCAAATTCCGCAGCGCTTTACAATGGGTGGACGAACAGACATGTAGTTGTAACCAGACAAGATGGACACACAGAAACAGAAGGGTTGAGGGCCCTGCTCAATGAGCTTACATGCTAGAGGGAGTGGGGTAAAATGACACAAAAGGTAAGGATAGTATTAGACTAATGACAGTTGCAGAAGAGGAATCAGTCAGGAGCTATTAACAGTTTAATTGATACGCTTTTATGAAGAAGTGGGTTTTTACCGATTTTTTGAAGGAGTGTAGATTGGGTAAGCATCTAACAGAGGAACGGTGCAGCCCTCGGAAATCCACATCTTACATACTTATAACCACTTGGTCAGCAGGTCCTCCCCAGGTTCTATAGTCTACTACAAAATATGTCAGTGTCCAATCCAGACATGGAGAGCATTTAGATTGCATGCGTGAGGATGTAGCCCACAATCACTGCATGCCGGGCATCAACTGCCCCTTTATCTGTCTTCCCCTGGGTATAATTTTTTGTGGAAAGGATCATAGTATAAAACCTCAGCCCTTGAGTAAGGAAAGGGTAAACATGGTCTGACAAGTCATTTTAAGTTTAAAGTTGAAGAAAGTTTAAAGATGCTGTAAACATGTACATCACTTTACTGGAGTACAAAGCTTAAAAAACTGGCATTGCATTAGTTACTCAAAATTGCTATTAATTAATTGGTGTAACTTTACTATGATGCCAATGAGTAAACCATTCCAACAGGAAACCACTGGAATATTATAGGCTAAAAAAACTATTATTTTTTATTCTAAATGCTATACAAAGAGTAGGCAGGAGAACTGTGCAGGTTGAGAATATTCGGCTCTGTCGAACCATTTTTCTGTAAAAAAAGAATAATGTTAAGGACACCTGAATTTCAGGCAAATGGCAGTTCAGATGAGCAGTGTTTCATAAGCCAAATCAGATGAACCAAAAACTGTATATATCTAGCCGTACACTGAGAGGAACATTTTGCAGTCATTTGGTTTGAAAGTGAATTTCAAATTTAAGGCCAAAATAGCCAAATTATACCAATTTTCCAAGCCAGCTATGCTTCCAGTTCAGCTATTTTGATCTAAAATTTTAAATTCACCTTGAATTCCCGACTGTTTTAATTTTAGCAAATAACCCTGAACGTCTGAATCAGATTTCCACTTCCTTCATTCTTCCAAGAACTGTATTTTCTTAATGAAGTATGATGTCATATTTAACTATATGCAGATGATGACTTGTATGACATCATTTTAAGAAGGAATGAAGAATTTCTTATGGTACAAGATTGTCTAATTCCTTACAGTTTTCATTTTATCGACCGCCTTAATACCAATAATGAAGGTAAATGACTTCAGATATTAATATCAATTTAATTTATTCTTTATGTCCTTTGTTGCTCTGCATCTTTGTTTTTTTGCATAACAGTTGCCTGGGATCTCAATAGCATGTGTATCTGGACAAGATCAGAAAAGAGTGTTTATTCTATACATATAGTGTAATTCCCACATGACTTTATTATCCAAGAAAGAAAAGCAATGAAGCCCCGGTACAGAGAGGTCACAAAAGTAAGAGGCTTCAAATCCATACAAAATAGGTCAGGGATAT